ATTATTTACAGCAGAAAGTAAATAGAGTTGCACTGGTCAGTGCAGTTGCAATATTAAAATTCTGAAACTCTTTTCTTTTGATTGTTAAGCAAGCAATAAGCCACACATCCTACTCCCAGAATATTTATGAAAACATCCTAATTTCCATATGGAATGTCTTTGCGAACTCACCCAAAAGAAAATAAATTTTTGAACCCGGTGAATTAGTTTAAGGTGAAGAAATATAAAACATTTTTAGTATTGTTCGCTTATAATTCATAGAAATTATGTAGCAGTTCAGCCCAGCACGTGATGAAAATGTCCTGCTGACAAAGTAGTTATACAAGAGACTCAAAACAAGCTTCAAATGGCCATTTTTGTCTTAAACAAAAACCCTCAAAGATTGTGGATTGTCTACTCAAAAATCAAAGTCATGGCATTTCGAGGCAAATATCCAGCGAGATCCAAAATAGCAATAGGAAACTACAATCCAGAACAAGTTAGTAACTTCAAGAACCTGTGATATAACCTTTAATGTAGATCATGACATGGACAATAAGCTAGTAAAATTTGAAAATATTTGTGGAACGATGCACAAGAATCTGAGAAACTGAACACGAAAGGAGTCAAGGGTTAAGTGTAACAGGACAAATGCAGCCTCCACACTCATGTATGCCAGCAAAACATAGGTGAACACGCAAAAGATCAAAAATAAAATACAAACGGCAGAAATGAAATTTCTGTGAAACGCACTAGAATGCTCACTAGTCGACATGAATCGGAATTCTAAAATAAAGAGATTCTTTAAAGGTCACAGAATTATATAAAAACAGTCTCGAAAATAAGTTCTCGAATGGTACAATCATATATCAAGAATGCCAACAAACCAACTTCCATTCATAGCTATGAACTAGAGAACAGAAGGAAGAAGGGACATTGGTAGACCTAGAAGAAAAATGGGTGCTGGAATAGGTCAAATGACCTACCCCCATCTTAAGACAATTTTCAAAAAGAAACGCACACTATCAAATACATAGCTACTGCCAATGAATACAGTACCACTCCCATCCACAAATTAAATAAGAAAAACTGATAAATAAACGCCTACCCACACACTCCAAGAAGAAAATTGTATTATTCATTAGTCTACAAAGACAGCAAGAAGCAATGGATGGCAATTGATTACAGTTTGATTTTTTCTGTACACTAAAATCTATCTAGACAAAAAACTTGAAGTATTTATTAGAAGTTCACAGGGTACCAATTTCAGGTACCAGAATAGCAGTGAGTTCAAAAAAATTGCTCTGTACACTTAGTAAGGTTTTCATGTGGATGGTTAAGACAATAATGGATAGACAGATGTTTTTGTAAAATGCTTTGTTACTTCTGGGACCTCCAAAACATGAATTTGCACCAAAATCTTTATCTTTTTGCACAATCACATTATTTGTTCATAACTATGTGTACCAGAAAACTCTAATGCAGCCAATTTTAATACTATAAGGTGTTTGTTAAATATCAATTCATCATAAATTTAACAATTTTCCTAATTGCTATGGTAAAATTCCATCTATCCCTTAGTTGTTAAGTTCCTTGACACTTCCAGGTTTTGTAGGTACACTGTATCCTTTACAGTATTGCACACAAGTAAACATATTCTCTTACTTACGTATGCATTGGTCAAGATTTTCTTCGAAATTTGCAGATTCTGTTCCTGCATTTGTATCATTTCCTGGCATGTCTTGGTCATCCATAGGTTCTCCATTCCCTGGGTCCTCCTCAAGCTCACTTTTTGGCACCAAAATCATAGGCAGCAAAGGTTCATGCTGGTTAACAATGATCCCTTCTGAATCCATTTCACCACCCAAATGAGAAGGTTGTGGAGATGGCTTCGCTGATGATTCCTCATTTCCAAGAGAGGACTCGGTACAACCTTGAAACACAAAGGCAGTGTCAATTTGAGCCAGCATCTCAAAAAATATATTCCCAAATTATCTCTCTCTCTCAGGAGCATATAATCCAGGTTTTTGTGTAGAAATGGGTCAAAGTGTGATATATTCATGTAATTATTTTTCAAAGAAAAGTGAATTAATCAAGGCCAATGCTACAATACCAACATAGCATTTCCGATAGTCTTCTGATAAGACTGTTTTCTCTTGAATCATTTTACTTCCTGTAACTTAATTCAATTGTGGTTGGCTTGCTCTACTTAATTTCATCACAAGAAATTGTGCAGAATGTGAAAAATATATATATTGCACTACTAGAACTAAGAGTGGCTGTGAAAATGGATCGCGTTCTAAATGATAATTCTGGATATGAAATAATAGGTTGCTGAGATTCTTGTGGAAAAATTTGAAACAGTAACCTATGTTAAAAATATAAGTTTCTTTAAATACACACCACACTCTCCATGTGACGTGGAGAGAACGTCCTCTGTGTTCAAAATGATTCTTGGTGATAAATGCGTTCAAATTGGTTCTAAATGATAATAGAAGAGGTCTTTCAGTAGAAAATTTAGAGAAGTTAATAGTTATTGCTATAATAACTACAGCAAATGAACTTGGTGAACTACGCTGAATGTTACAGCATCTTGTAAAAATGCTACAGCTTCTCTCGCTTAATATTTCTTTGGTTTACTATAATATTTGCAAATATATTTTTATTGTACGTTTTTTGTACTAGTGTAAAACGTGTGTTTTTGAACTAGTGACTTTGAGTGCACCAGGAAAGCCCCTTTGCACTGAGCTGAATCAAGGACTTCCTATCAAGAATTGCATTTATGTTAGTAGCAACCAAATCATTGGGAAGCAAGTGAAGGGGACACTTCGAACATCAATTGTGATCGCGGTGTGTACGCTATTAACATTTTTCTTTGGTACAAACTGCAGCTCGTTCTACCAAGATATTTTCTGAATCCGAACACACTCGCCAGCAAAGGTGCACTGCAGAGAGACTTTTCTGCCATGCTATATAAATGTGAACTGTTGCTAATATTTTTGTTTAACCATATTCGTAGTTTTAAATGCATATATTGGCAATTTTCAGTTCATGGACGCAGGCATTTTATTAACTTTTTTTTTAGTGAAGTTCTGGGGTCTAGTAATGACATACCTATTTCTCATACTGCAAGGACTGTCCGGTTTACACTTTTACTGACACAGGAGTCATCACAATTCCGAGTAGTTGCCCATATCCAGCACATTCTAGTGAATTTAAAATGAAATTTATCACTCTTCATTGCAAAGTTGGGCATGAATCTGTAAAGAGTGATTAAATATAACCACACACAAGGACACGGTTCTCTTTCATGTTGGTTTGCAAATCTGTATACCAGTTGTCATTCTGAAATTTCAGGGCTTTTCATTTTCAAGCTTTCTGGTGGACTCATTTTTAAAATATTAACAAGAATAATTGGATTTCCAATTCATATATCAGATTATTAAATATTTGAAAACATTCAGGCTTTTACATTGTATGTTTGTGTTACTGTACAGAGTTTTAACATTTTTATTTGTGGCGCATATTTTAATTTTTAACATGCTTACTCGGAGATTTAGGTATTAACAAACACAATCTTTTTTAAAAATTTATATTAATTATTTCATTGGACACGCCGTTTATCCTTCCAAAAACAGTATTATTTGTGACTCATGAACCGTTAAACATTTTTTTATGATTATTTATTAAGATTCGTTATTTGGAATATACTTTAGTGTCTGACCCTAAATTTGAAGATTGACAAGGGTCTTCTATGTACTTTACAGGAATTCGAATGTTTAAAAATTACTGGTAACAATATTGATTAACAGAGCATTTTATTATTGATAATATGCATTTTCTACAACAATTTGAAGTTTAGGCACAAGAATTGACTTTCTGCTATTAAATAAAAAAAGAATCATAAAGATTCTTGAAAATTAGAAGAGTTTTGATGTTTCACATCGGGCCAAACAAAAGAAAGAGTAGCTCTAGGGAAAAGCCAGATTAAGATTCATTGGCTCTAAAATAGTCTGTGAACACTCAATTCCCAACAACGAAAAGAATTTGTCCAAAATGAATTTTCTGCTTTTAATGTGACAACATAAGGAGTTAACATTAGTTTAAATTGCATTTTCAACATTTCTCACCAAATAATCTAATTTTTCTTTCAATTCAGTAAAATCGACATTTTGAGGTAGAGGAGTGCCTGAAGTTAAGTAATGAGGTAGCTGCATTAAAATTATAATCATAGCTTTATAAAGATGTCTGGTTCTCAGAAAATTGGGACAGTAAATTTTCATGAACATATTTTCATTAACTCTGTTTGAGATCTCTTGAACTCCAAAATTTATTTCAGGCAGAAACGATTTTCATTTGTCACCATCAAGATTAATTTTTTAGAAGTTGTAAATACTACAAGAATAATTAGTTGACTTACTTGGATATTGTTTCAAATTCTGTTTATGAAATACATCAGTTCCTACATTCGTTTCACTCATAAAACCTCCAGCTGTTGGTTTAGCACTTTTAATGTTCTCTGGCACATGTGTTTCAGAAAACACATCATACAAAGGTTCGAGTTTCACAGATATTTCTGTTTCAAAAGACACCGCATCACATCCCACAGGCCTCTGAGGCTCTTGCAATGGTGATGCCGTTTGCACGTCCTCTTGCGAGACACTACACGATTCAAAGGGAACAGAAGAGTCTGTGAGCACATTTGTGTAGCCATCTGAATGGTGGAGATGCTGCTGGCAAGCATTTTCTGGGGTGTCCTTGTTCAAATGAACGCTTTGATTTACACTGCTATCCTGAACGTCCTTCAAGAGGTCATGAGAGATACTTGCCGCTCCACTACCAGATACGTTCTTATTCTTATGAAAGGAATGAGATAACAATTAATGTAAGTATTTTAATAACAGCAGTAAAAATTATTTTAGAAATTTTACCTGTTTTACATACATAATTCCTGGTAAATCCATTTAGGCCCTTGATCTGCAAGGACTGGGCCACAGTCAGAAATGATTCCAAATTCCCTTCTGGAATTTGAACTTCCCCTTGGTATACAAATTCCATTATAGCCTTCAGAGTTTCAAACGGTGCATTTAAAAGGACAACAAACGCATGCTTGTCAGTCTCCTCCTGAAACAACGTCTATAAAAAAAAAAAGAGAATGGTGAAAAATATGAGCATTTCAAACTCATTCAGAGGATCACTCCTTCAGGATAAATTTGGCAAACAATAAAATAAAATAACACCAATGTCTTTTTTACTCCCAATAACGCATCCAGCCCTCTACCTGACTACAATCATGAATTTTTACTGTCGTGTAATTTTATATTCTCTTTAAAGCGACAAAAAAGTTTTGCTTTGAAATAATAAATCCACGTCATCACATTGCATTGTAAGTCTGTGAATGCTCACAAACTTGCAGCTTTCCGTGTCGTGATTCACAGATTTGTCAGCCTCTCCCATCTTATTTTTAAAAAATTTGAAAAAGAAACACACACTATCAAATACGGAACTACTGCCAATGAATATAGTACCACTCTCATTGACAAATTAAATAAGAAAAAAATGATAACATACACAAGTCTCACCCCACTTCCCCAGAAACATTTCCTTTACCACACATGAACCCCTCAAATGTCTACTCTAACCTTGCACCCCCCCTTTACTCATGGAGAAGTCAAGGGTTTATGAACTCCACAACCACAATTGCGAAGCTAAATACATAGCCCAGACCAGTTGTAACTACAATGCCAAAGTTAAATAACATTTGCAGGCATGGAAACAATACAAACAGATTGCACAAAGATTGGATGACACATGCCAGAAAGAAGTAGAAAGACTAACAACTGCATACTATTTTTTGGATGAAATTTGTCCACAGCAAGACATAAAGACATTTTCATAAATATAGATGAAATGTTTAAGAGCTTTTCTTTGAATGAATTTACATATTTTAATTTTTCAATGATTCTAAACCATTAAAACAAAAATTTATCTGCCTTCAATTATTACTCTTGTCTTTCGAAGTTATTGTGAACAAACAAACAAATTGCAAAATCAGTAGTTCAGGCATGAAATTCACTTTTGAATAAAAAATATAATGTAAAAGATTTTTTTCAAAAAATTAAATTATTAGTTTAGAAACTGGTCTGACAGGGACTTGAGACATTACGTTCAAGTATACTTTATAGCAAAGCTGTGAGTTCAAATCCCTTTTTCAGCAAAGTTATTTGCAATTGGCGTTTGAAATGGTGTTCATTCTCAGTACACCATGTATCACCTCTGAAACCAAATCCTTCTCTTAAGTCCTATCCCTCCTCATTAAATTACTCTGGGAGGATACAATGGGTGTGACGCAATGCAATCAGTGCCGTTTAGAAGTTCAAGAACATCAGTTTAAATAAAATCAGTCAAAAAACGGCTGGGCTCTTGGATCACATTGGTTCCCAATAAAGTAAGTTTTGGGGACACTGATATGGACTTACAAGACACATTTGCGAGAAGGGATTGGAATGAATGGATAAGTAATCAAGTGGAGGTACTTGCAGCTACATCTCAAGGGTGGGAGGGTGGGATCCATTGACGCACACGGTGTGGGGGACAAAATAGGAATCCATCCATCCTATTATTAGTTTGGCATAACATATTTATGCAAAGAAATTTTAAGAAAAGATACTGAAAATTTATTTTGGCAACTTTAGCACCTTTTCAACGTTTTACCTGCAACCTACAATTCAAGACGCAAGTGGTCAAGATCAATTTGTAACTAAGGCTCTTTTTAGTTACGCTTGCTTTAAAATCCTTGAAAACATTTTCTAGAGTGTACCCTGATATTATTTTTTTTAGTGAAAATAGTTAACTTGAACAAAACAGAAGAATTATTACATGCAGTCTTTGTCTCTTTAGTCTAAGCTGTCTTTTCAGTTTTGTCTTAACCTCCTCTTAGTTGCCATCTATCGGTGCCTAAAGGGCACTTTTTCATTTATTAGTTTATCCTGTAATCGTAAAATTAAAATATAACTTGAAAAACATTAAGGAAGAAGAAAGTCCTTCAAGTAAATTTTTGTTCCAAAATTTGGAGCTGTTTTGAGAAAATGTGGTTTGAGCGCTTCTGAAGATGCGTAATTTGAAGATCACTAACACCCAAAAAATGTTGAGTTTTCAAGAAACTTTCTTTTTTTATGTGTGAAGCATTTGTCCTTACAATTAATGCATGGAAAATTTAAATAATACATATAATAACAACATGACACCTTAAACAAATGCATTTGTGTAATTTTTGAAAAGCCAAAGAACTCAGCAAAATGGTATTTTGTCATGTAATGCAGTGGATTTATTCCTATCTGTAGAAGAAAATCTGGAGCAGTTTTCAAGAAGATAGTGTTTGAGTGCTTTTAAAAATGCGCAATGTTGAGTCCATTTAACAGAAAAGGTTTTGAGTTTTTGAGAATCTTCATACATTTAAAGCCCTTGCACTAACAAATGCAATAATGTAAAAAAAAATAACTCACACTGTAAATATCAACGACACAAGCAAGATATAAAACACAATTGTTAGTGTATTTTTTTTCTTTTTTTTTTTTTTATAAACAAAGAATACAGAGAAATTATATATATGACATCTGTTACACTGCATTTAACACTATCACTACAAAACATTTGGAGCAATTTTTGAAAAAATATTTTTATTACTTTTTAATATTGCCCATACTTTATTCAGATTAGCTCAAAAATTGCTAAAATTTCTTCTGAAAAGGAAAAAAAAGGGGGGGAGGGAAAATTGTTTTCTTCTACACTTAGGACATTGTCAAAAATTTCAGTAAATTCCCAAAAATTCAGATTTAACAGTGAAAATCAGACCCATGTCACCTTTGTAAGTGTATTCTCTCTATTCTTACAAGAATATTTAAAGAAAAAAAGTGGAGCCATTTCGAGAGATTTTTAAAATGTACAATGGACTCCATGCAAAGAACCCCTAAAATTTAATGGTCATTCAAAATCGTAGAACATTGAGTCAGGCCAAATTGACTGCCAAATATTTATTTTGGGAAAAAAATTTCAAAATATTTGGCCACTAGTGTTGCTCATACTCAGACATTTTGAAAGAAAGAAAAAAAAAAGAGAAAAAAAAACATCACTTTTGGCATCAGGGAACCCCAAAACATACACGTCCGTTGAAAATGGCACACCATTTTCAAATATTTTATTATACAAGCAAGAACCGACATAAAAAAATGTTATTGATCCTTTCTATAGTACCACTGGTCTACAAGGCAGCGATTGACAATAAGTTACCTGAGAAAGTTTAAATTCCTTCACAAATTGAACAACTTAAATTGATGTTCCGAAATCACATAACAAGAAAAGAAAATCATGATAACCCTTAACTTACCTGAAAGTATGGGCTGCATGCA